GGATAGGAAATATAGCATAATTTTCATCTTCCCATCTCTTCCTCCAATGTCCTACATGGAGCAGGAAAGTCATCAACTCCAGGTATCAGGAGGGGACAAATAAAAAGCCCAACTAAAACCAAAAAACCCCAACCCCCTCAACCCAACCAGAAGCAGTAAACAAACTGAAAAAAAAAAGTTCTCTGTCCCATACTGAGACTTTACATGAAATGAAAAGTTCTAAAGCCTTCCTCTGACATCTGCTCAGCCTTCTTCACTGCAAAGCTTCCTCCAGCTGCTGGTTAAGTAGCAGTCAGCCCTTGAGTTTAAGTAGTAATGGCTACTGCACTAAAGGGGATTCCCAGTTCAAATCCCAGTCATGAAGAAGCCAGCAATTACAACTGCTTAATCTCAGTTTCTTTTACTTTTGCCACTTAAATGCACATCAGGAAGTTCATACCCAAATAACCTTTAGAAACAAAATTATTAAGAAGTCCAACAGTTCAGAGTTAGGAACAGTGGGACGGAGGCTGTAGCTACACGTTCAATGCATACCTTATAGAAGGGTGATGATGGTGCCATCCTTGCTCTTGTGACCACATGCCACTTTCACATCCCCAGGCAGCATGTCTGCAGGGACAGGATAACCACGTGCTACTCAATCCATTGGAAATTTGGCATTTTCCAAGTGTTCTACTTCTGTGACCTAAATCGTATCTCTAATGTACTTTTGGCTACAATAAGAAATCACACTGAGAAACTTCATCCTAAGAATGCAGCCTCATTGAGTATATCACTAAGCTAATCCCTTCTCAGCAGGGAGACATGGAATAGGCAATCCATCCATCGAGCCCTCTGAGCTGCAATGACTAATCCATTGTACTGGTATAGTGATACCAAAAGTGACCATCTGATGTTGCCAAAAGCAGGCACTTCCCCAAATCCTTAAGCTGCACTAATTCTGCAGGGAAGGTGCAGCCATCACTAGAGATTCATGCAGTTATGGCTTTCTTTCGCATGCATTTCACCACATACATCTGTGGGTGCTGACTGAGGTAGAGGAGGTTTTACTTTTCCCCTAATCCCTAAAGCAGAAAGATTGCCCTAAGGAAGCCAAAGCAACTTCCTCTAGTTGACGGCAGGGGCATCTGCACCATGTCAACTAGACAACAGCTGCACGTGCATTTCTAGGCCAGACTAAAGAAAATAAAAATAGGTAGGGTGGGGAGAAAGATCTGCTGGCCAAATACCTACAGCAGAACAGCCACTGAGGCTTTTTCTGCACTCTGTTCTCACCACCAAACTTAGAGCACCCCACCTTTTTGACACTGCACATGTGCAAAGATCTACCTCTGAAAAATAATAAATGTCCTCTTCTTCCTTCTGTACTCGCCATATAGTTGTGCTTGGAACATTAGTTCTCAATCTGTTCAAGAAGAGAGGATTGTTGTCCATAAGGACATTTGAAAGCCACTGGGCAGTTTTTTGGCTAAGCACCCTAGTATGAGCCATTCTGCTTGTTTTCCCCTCATAGAAAAGGTGTTCCCCTATTTCACTAACTACATCTGTTGCAACATCTGCCATTAGTCTGCAAACAACTACGGCATGCAGTCTGTTGTAATTCAATAAACTTACTGTTACAAACACCTGTAAATGTTTACAACTGTCAAATCCACTGCTTACAAAAGGACAAAGCAAAATTCCGTATCTAAACACCCCCAAGTCCTAGAGGGAAACAACACTGGATCTTGATGTCAGGCAAGCACACATCTCTCTCATGGGCAGAGCCAAAATGTAAGGTCTGAACACCCTTCTCTCTCCCACCCACCCTTTATTCTTAGGAAATGCAAATTATTGCCATAGTCTTCTGTTCTTTCTCCTGTTTTTACTTTTATAAGAAAAGCAAGTTTCTGATGGTATTAAATACCTCAGATAATGAGAACAAAAACAGAGCCTACTTTGAAGGACAAATACTTTCCAGCTGCCTTCATCCAAACACTACACAGAGTCTGTACCAAAGTTAGCTCTTGTTGTGCACTTCCCATTATCAGTGTTCTACAGCAAGGACATTCAATTAGGTTGCTCAAAAGAAACAGAAGTGCTTAAATATGGTCTCTTCCTCTGTTTATCAGGGACCTCAGATCCTCTACAATGTCCAAGTGATTTCCACTTTCCCTGAACCCACACAAGGCATAAAGAAAAGGTGCAAACTTACCTCTAGAATTTCTCCCACCTCTGCTGCTTTGGAGTGACTTTGTCTGGTTTGGTTAAGACTTGAATTATACACACACACATATTTTCCTTCCTCATTTACCTGGATTTCTCCTCCACATCTTGAATTCCATTACAGAAAACTGGCCATTTCTCAGACAAGCACCAAGGTTTACTTTTGTAGGAACAAGTCAAACAGGAACACAGTCACCTCTTCCAGCAGCACACAGAGCAGTCTGTGCCAAACTGTAGGTATTTCAGGTCCTTCAGAGAGAAATGCCATGTTTAAGAGGCACAGACTCAGTCACCTCCTTTCTAAAAGGAGGACAAATTTAAGATCACACCTACAGTAGCATCAGATGGAAACAGACACAGCACAGCAATAGAAGTGACCTGTGAACAGGGAGGAGGAGGTCTTCCTTCACATCACCTCTGCCCAGAGCAGGATGTTCAGTCAAGCATCATTCCCAAACAACCTCTGCCTAGACTCGAGCACGAGAGATGATAAAGTCACTAATACTCTGCCAGAAAAGCCCTTACCTAGTGAAAGGCTGGCATTAGACTACCAGCAGTTTCACTGGCATCACAGAAATCCATTCAACTAAGAGCAACACTATCAGTAAACAAACAAAAGGCCAGGAGGGAAACGTGAGATTTCTCCCCTTATACTTTCCAGAAATGTACCAGAAATCCTCGTATCAGAGGAGGCGAAGGAAATAACTGTGAGACCAGGAATAGCTCCACACTGTAAAAACAAGGCTCAGCAGCAGCTCCTCTTGGCCACGTAACACATAATGAGACAGACAGGAGCTCATTTTCTTTGGCCATATTTCAGATTTCCTTCAAGAAGAAAAAGGCCTGCACAGGGACATACATTATCAACCAGGTCATACTTCTCCTCACAACTCAAAGCAATCTTTTGAAGTTATTGGGCAATTTTAACTCCAGTTTATGAAGAGAGGGGCCTCAAAATTGCTTAGTTCTTTAAAGGTCTGCATAAACAGGATTGGAGAGCGATTCTTATCAGTGCCCCAAGCAAACTAAAAAGACTGAAGTATTTCATCCCTGTCAGGCACGAGGGAGGCTGCAAAGCCCTCAAGATCCACGGGAAAGCAAGTTTCACTGGATTTTCAAGAAATTTATTATTATTCTAAGTGAAGGCAGGCCGAAGAAGGAAACACAGCACACTATTTCTGGCTTTTGCAGAATGGTACTGCAGCATCACAGCTTATGTTTCTCTTCTAAAATGTGGTTTATCAACCAGCTAGCCTCTTCCCACATCAATGCCATAACTTTCCCAGTCACCTCTTCCTTATACCTGGAAATTGTGTCCTCAACTGCAGCTTTACCTGTTCATCCAGTGATGATCTGCTGACTGTATTTCCTATAGCTCTGACAGACATCTGAGACAAACTTGCCCTGTAAGAATAAACCTGTGTGAGCTGACCACAGACAACCCCAGAGCTGCAGGTAACACCACGTTTTCCAAAAGAGCCACAAGACACAAATGTTGTTTCAAAAGTTTTTTTGAACATCCCTGGAAAGTGTAAGTAAAATATTTTTTCACTCCACGAACACACTATCCAATGTTTTACTCTTCCCAAAGCTGTGTTTTGCTGAAGTGGCAGTGAGCTTTAATGAACTATATCAATTTTGGGTACACCTACAGGATGAGATCATAGTGTGGGTGATGTAAACTCTAAACCAGCTAAAGACTTAGGCAAAAGCCATAGCACCACTGCTAATCTGAGCTGCAGCCTAAGAGCAGAAATTCTGAGGTCTCTATGAACCACTGCACTCTGTTGTGTAGTGTAATTTCCTTGCTACCTTCTCTACCTTGGGCAGCACAGGCACACCATCCCATGCCAGGCACAAGATCGCTGCAGTGGCACATTTTGCTGTGCCAGCCCTTGTTTGAGAATCCCAAGCTACTGCACCACTACAAAACTGCAGTTAATGCCAAATAGCGATGTCTCCTCTGTTGCCAGATGTACTGTAACCAATTGCCTTGTTCCCCACAGATAAGTTATCTGTATTCACACACACAGGAGGAGCACTCAAAATATATGAGGCTAAACTCACCCAGAGACATTAAAGTGATACAGGAGGGAACAGCATTTAAGCTAAAACAGCAATCCAAAGTCTAACTGTTTTAAAGGTTCTGTGGACTTGCCCATGGGCTTTTAATGAATTTACCCCAAATGTGTTTTTCAAATCAAAGACTATGTGAAAAGTAATCTTTAACATCTCACACTTTTACCAAAATGAAGGTATCTTATATTAAGTTAGAAAAGCTCCCCAGGCCCCATTACATCAATAGAATGATCCTCTCACCTTACTCTTCACCTACACACTTAGAAGTTGATCAGCTGCTAGCAGGCTTCTGCCTAACATTTGAGCATAAAGGAAAAAGGTCACAGAACTCCAGATATACAATTTCCAATTCATCAAATCCCAAGTCCTTTCAGAAGCCAAAATGTCAAGTTTCTTGCAGAAAGTGGATTTTTGCTTAGCTCATCTTTTCTAAGACAGGGAAAGACATTTAGCACCCAGAATTCCATTAAATGAAACATTTCCTGTTTTAATTTTCTCTTTAACAGCAGTAAAATGCTTTCAAGTGTCCAAGTGGCACGAAGCTCTACTTGGCACCTTCCAAAATAAACAGAACACTCTTTTGCCACCTATACAGAGAGAAATGCTCATCAACAGCTTGTCACTGTGCTGCGGAAACTCAACCCAGGGAATGAAAGATGGGTTATGTCATTCGGCAGACAGACTCTATGAAAATAACTCTAAAAGAACAGCAAAGATCAGTTCAGGACAAAACATACTTTATTGTACTGTAATGTCAGAAGTACAAGAAAAGTACTGCAGAGAACCATGCTAATGGCGCTTTTAGGGTCTGTGAAGGACAGGAGTACAAGATAATGGGGTACTACTGCACTCAGTGCAAAAACTGATTCATTTGAGGCACAAGTACACTATTGTTTAAGCAGCTTGATTCAAGCACAGCTCTGGTATGTGATCTACTCTTTTCTTTCTATGTGACAATTCTATAATAAAGTTACTTTTACATGAAAGAGGCAGTAGATTCAAGTCAGGGGTGTCCAAATTGCCACTTGGCAACTAAAAAATTAAGAAAAATACTCTGCATAGTCACCCTCCCCATTTTAGTTTCAGATATGGAGCAGTGGCTAGGGAAGAAAAGTTATTCTGAAATGTCAGAGCCCAGACCTGCTTGGTTGGGTGGGGTTCCCCCCCCCTCCTTTTTCTATGTCTGTGGGTAACTTATTTCATGTTGACCACCATTTATCCAATAAGAAAAAAAACACAACTAACTTGTATCTTGGATAAGAAATCATACATATCTAACATTCAAATAAATTTCAGCCCTTGAGATCTTAACTTATGGCTTAAGACACAAAGAAAGTGTTTGGGCACCCTTGAGTTAAGTTACTGAAGAGCATTTTTGCTAAAAAGGCAAGCAAGATCACTGTTTTAAACAGAGCTGACCTCTACAAGAACAAAGCAGGAATCCAAGTCACTAGTTACTACCAGGCTGACATGTACTGCTGCCCAGAAAGATAAAAATGTAACAACACAACGAAAAGGTTCAACAAAGTTGAAAGATAAAGGTTTCAACACCAGAAGCAGCATTTGAAAACAAGCTGTTTAAGTTAATCTTTTCAAGAGATGCGGATTGCATAACTCTAGGCATGAACAAACATGCTGGCAATCTTCTCCTTTTACACAGCAGCTGTGTTTAACATAGGAAGTTCTGGGTTTAAAGAAAGCTACTCGAAGAAGAATTAAGATTTGCAATTCCCTGTCTACTTAATAAGATTAGTAGAGAAAATGAAAAAAAAATCACTACTGAAACAGTAGTTTCTCAGTGGATCCCTATCATTACAAACACAGCTGGATTTGTAAGCAACGCAAGACTAAACAGACAGCTATTATTTTATATTATTACTATGCTCATAAGTTACATCAGTTAAAGTTAAAAAAAGCCAAGCAGTTTTTCCCTATTTCAAGAATAGTTTCCAATCAACACCAGTTTACATGGTGAATGGGACTTCACAAATAAACGAGGAATGGAGACATCTTTGGGTCAAGAATGACAAGAAATAATGGGCTCTGTGCTACCAATCAACCTCAACAAGAATATGGCACATGGGCCAGCCCAAGCCGTACCAACACTGAACCTTTAGCACTCAGCACAAATTCGGATCTCTTTACTTTAGCTAGCAAACCAGTTGAAAAGACTGGGTAAAAAACCCAAAAAAACCTAACTAAAAACTTAAGCCATAAATTGGAATATACTTTTTAAAAAAAAATCTTAAGTTTTAAAATAATTCGATGCTGACATCAGTTTGTGCAAACTAAAAAAAAAAACTCATTGAATTTCTCTCTAACGAAAGACAAATCCCCCAAATATTTTCCTTTTAGCCCACTGTATCTGTAGATACAATCTCAAATGAAAGAGAGAAAAAGTTACAGCATCTGCACAACATTCTTTCTACAAACAGCTGCTGGAGGGAAAGTAAAATATAAACGGAATAAAGAAAGGAAGGTTCCATCTGAAATACTCTCACAATCTTTCCCACTCTGTAGTCCATGAATCCGACTCTGATGCTAAGGTGACAGTGTATGTAAGCAGATTTTTTTGTTGATTTTATTATACTTGAGTTTCAATTGAAGAGAACCTGAGAAGAGACCCAGGTCTCTTCAGGAATTGTCAGATGGAACATGCTCCTCAAATCCTTCGCTCTCTCGGACCAATGCTCTTTCCAGGATGACCCGGCCCTCCTTGTAGCGCTGGCTGTCTTCAGTGGCAAATTCATAGATCCAACCCAGTTTGCTGTTGCAGTTCTTGCAGCTCACATCTCGAACCATGTGGCGGCCAGTGAGCATGACCCGATCCTGAACTTCACTGTATTGCAGATTTACCACCTGATACAAACACACAGGGGACAGGGAACAGAAAGGATTAGTCTGCCTAAGGCAGAGCTCCGTAAATGACAATCAACATTTTAAAAGCAGAGAGCCTGTGGCACTGCATGTGAACTGAAAACTGCAGTGATGTAAGTCAACAGCCCTTGAAAATCTCTTTCTTGAGAAAGTAACACTGTGAAGATATGCTTCACAGGGATGTATAACCCTCACTGTTTAACTGAGAGACATGAAATGCTATGACAAGACATACAAAAGGGCAGAGGACTGTTCAAGTTTGCGTGAGAAACTCCTAGTGAATAGCTTGTAAACTAGTTTATATTAATCCAGTTGTAGCACACGTAACCCATTTCTAGCAGCTGATGTGATCACTTATTCCCAGAACTCAGAACCAAATATTAAAAGAGGTACTTCTTTAAAAATCTTGGGGTGCTTTTGAAATAATTATCTAAGCAGAAGCAAGGCTCAATGGCTGAAAACATAGGCATGAAACGGGCACCTTTTTTTGAATATATCAGCTGTTTAAAAGGTTAGGCAGCAACACCACAAACCCAGGATTTCTTGAAAAGTTGATGTCAGAACCATATCCAAACTGCTGATATGAGATAGGATTCTAAAAGAGAGGATTGCACTGCCTTCTCAGCTTTCCACCTGCCTGTGCTTGTTCTCTCTGCTTCGGATGTAAGGCTCTGACTGCAGAAATGCAAAAGTCAAACTTCTGTGATTAAACCCCAATATCTTACACCAGAAAAATTTGAACTCTTGGATGCAGTGCTTACTGGATGAGAAAGAAAACAGATCCACAGCTCTTTTCTCGCTATGCAGCCTAACGCTTACATGTAAGTGCTACTGACAGGATTCAGCATATCAGAAACCCCAGGGCCAAGCACAGCTAAGCAAAGACATTACTGACACCTCTCTCAACCCTGCCCATGGCTAAATGGCTTTCAAGAAAAAAACAAACCCACAATACACCAATGATTATATGACCAGGAACTTTGCAAGAAAGGACAATAACAATTTTTTCAGTGAGCCTGATGGACAAGTCTATATGGAAGGGCTAATAAATAAATATTACAATTTACTCAGAAGTTATGACTTGCATATTTTAATCTGTTGAATTTGATCAATTAAAAATGTATTAAACTAAAACACACTATTACTGCCTGTAAAAGAGACTGTGGTTCACATTAGTTGTCAGAATACTGTTAGCTTAAATGCATTCTAGAAGTTAAAAAGAATAGTTTTTAGATTTTTTTTTTAACTAAGTAAAAGTACAAACGCCTTTGAAACTCTCTGATAGACACAAGATACTTTCAGAGTGAATCTGAGGTTCATATTACAAAAGTCTCCAAAGTTAAAACTCCATACATTTTGGCATGATGCCTCTATATACACAATCCTCTTTACAGTCTTTCAATATTGCAGATAAACTAATTTAGATAGTTTATCATCAACAGTAAATGTCTACCTTGACTTCAAAGACAGTTGAATAGAACAAAATAAAAATTAAAAAAATTAAAATAGTAATTACACAACACTTTAGCCAAGAAGCTTTTGGCTTCTCTGATGACATTGACATCCCACAAACTCATTTTTCAGAAGTAAATAGCAGCTCCTCCTCAGCTTCTTACCAACCTTGTTAAAAAGAAAGGCTCTTCCTGTGGCGCCGGTGAAACGAGTGGAGATGAGTTCGGAGCGGTTGGTCAGGATCGTGTCGCAGTTTGCACAGGAGAACAGGCGAGTGCCACCAATATGATCCAGAAAAATTCTTCCCATTTTTAGAACTGATGTAAGTTTACACTCAAGACCTGAAAGCAAAAGGAAAGATCATGTACATGTAAAAAAAGGCACAGCAGGAAAAAAAAAAATAACCCCCCCCAACACCCTACATATGGCAGAATATTCTGCAAACCAATTCAGGTAATGACTGCAGGGGGTTCTTTCACAGGTGAGTTACTAAACTCACAGTCGGCCTTCACCCTCTCTCAATTAAGACAAGTTCTTTCCCAAAGTGACCATCTTACAATAAGATGACCTAGATACAAACTAATTACATTAATGGAGAAAAACAAGAACCATGAATGGAAACCTTTAAAATATAGTTCAGACATTTACAGACCCTCTAGTCGACCCTACTGTTCTTCAGAACCTTCTACTTCCTTTAGTATTAAAATTTCATTCCACTATATTCCCAACAACTTGCTCATCTTAGTGAGCACTGGGAAATGTAGCACTGAGAAGCACTGACATTGAGTCACCAATTATAGCTTAATTTTCCCGTGTCACCCCCACGCCCTCCCCCCCTTTTAAAAATATATATTTATTTTGTCACTTCCTCTAAGCTTTGCATAATTTATGACACACAATCACACAACACCACCACCCAGAATGCTGGTATAGCAGCCTGTCTGCTGCACTTGACTTGACACTGGTTTCATACGCATACCAACATAGGAAAGGTTTGGATGCTATTTCACATAATAAACAATCCACCCAGTCTTTACACCAGACAGTATCATATACAAATATTTAAAACTGTCTAATCTAAATACAAAATTCTGTGTCATCCAAGATACTTTCAAAGCTTCATAATTAAAATACCCAAGCAACTCCAATGAGCCAAAAAAAAAAAAAAAAAAAAGAGAGAGCTTAGGAAGTTTAGAGCAGCAGATCTGCAGTACTTGACAATTCAGCCTCTTCACTGTTCAGGAAAATTAAAGTGTCTCACCAACTTTATACCAACTAACAAACTACTCATAGTTAACTAGTGAGTAGGCACAGCACATATCAGCTGAAAACTTAAATCACGAAGGATGATGTAACATGACAAAAGAATTAAATGATGATGTTATTTCCCTTTCACTGCAGAAGTTTTATGACTAAACACCTATAGTTAAACACGTTAAATGTAACTCCATTTATGCTTCAGATGTGGAATCAGAAAAGTGTATTGTCTCTGCTTTTGTCATGCACAGAAACGCAAAGTAAATCTGACACACTGCGTTATTAAAGTTGTGTGGGCTTCACTTTTCAGAGCAGCAGATACTGTGCTGTTCGTAGAGAAATTAATCAGATTTTGTACTCATCAAGTTGAATATTCTAAGTCAAATGCCTTTAAGAAGTGCAAATACCTAAATTAAACTCATTTCAAGTCTTAAGGGATCAGTTTCTTAAAGCTTCCTCTGACATGCAAAAAGCAAATGGACTAAAACATGCACCTAAACACACAAAATTTAACACACTGTTTTTACACATAAAAATCAGAAGTCACTGACATAATGATTTTTTTCCAATTGCTTTATTTCACCACTTTGTTTTCGTACAATGTGCAGCAGCAAAAAGGGTTCCTAAATTGAACAGAGTGATTTTAGCACAGGTTCCTTACAAGCATATTTTTCAAGTCACTATTAATCTTCTGTATCCCATCTGAAGGATACATAAAAATTCACAGCAATGGAATGATTCTTTCCTTTAAGGGTGATATAATACCAGTATCTCTTCTTCAAAAGATAAATAAAGCAGATCTTGAGTCTGACAAAAATATTTCATGGACTCAGCTGAGTGTTAGAGGTGTGACTCCCTGTGACTTGGCTCAAAATACAGAAAGCATTTTCATTAGATTTCTCTAAGCATTATACCTTTCTAATACTCCTTTATCTTTCCTAGCAAGCAAAGGCAAAAGAAAAAATTAAAATGTGAATGGTGACAGAATGAAGGAAAATCAACAGACAATAAGTGTGAATAAACAAGTATCAGTCAAAGTCTCCAGCCAGAAGAAACCACAAATACAAGCAATAAAGGCAATTGTAACAGATATGCCCATAAGGCACTTGGCCTAGCTCCATGTGCCATCCTTACTAATTTTGGATAATGTCGTATTTGTGCTGACTGTGTTGTGGATTAAAAACAATTAACTGATCATAAGTTACTGTAAATGTGGAATCAGCATCCAAAGGCATATTTCTTTCAGGGTAAACACAAAGCTTAGCCTGTCAGTATTTTTAGAAGCTAATGTAAAATAATTCCAAACCCATCCCTCTCATACCAAAAGCAACGCAAACACTAAGCTGGGTGACCAGAACTGATCCATTACACAGACTGCCCTTGCACAGCATGCCATTTTGAAAAATGCATCTAAACACTTAAAATGCAAGTACATCACCTACCTAAAATCATACCTCATGTTACTGCACTTAGAAAAGCAGTAACCCAGAGACGCTAAAAATTAAATTTAAATACTTCAGAAGGGAGCACGAGCATAATTCTTGCAAGCAAGTTAGGAGTCAAAGCAACAAACAAATGTATTACTTCTGGATATGGCACTATGCATGGACTGAAGTGTTGAGTCCTGAAGATACCGAACATTTAAATAAAAGCAAAAATATAATCGAAGATTTAAGGCTGAAAAACCTGCCTAGTAACACAAGGCCTAAAATCTTCAATTATTTACGTTACCCCAAAGAGCTAAAAGTTACCTCATCAAGTATCTAAATGAGAAATAAACTTGCAATAAGACATGGATCCCAACAGAAAGAAAAAGTTAGATGCATTTGATGGTAGCACAAGGCTGTGAGAATTCAGACTGAAGTCACAGCAGAATCTAACAAACCAACTGGTCCAACATTTCTTCAGAATACAGTGCATAAGAAAATGTATATTCTTGAAAACAATATACATTTTAAAATTTAGAAAATTGCATTCTACCATCAGCATTATAACAGTCAAAACAATGTAGATTTTGCATATTTTTCTTAAGAAACTGTTAAAATACTGTAATCTTACTAGAATGTCTAACTTTTAAAAAATAACCTCTGCACTTAACTACCACCTGGTAGACTTCAGTCAACATATATAGCACTCTACAACTACCTCAGTCCTTAGTTTTGATTGCTACAGGATTTCAATGAGTCCATAAGGGTCCAGCTGGAGTGCTGTAAAACTAGTCACCTTAAGTCTTTATGGTACTGCTCACAGTAGTTAAAAGGAGGAAAAAATTACAAAATGACTGCTAGTCATTTGCAGCCTTCAAATGCCACACTTGATCACGAACTTTCTAAACAAGCTAGCATGGAAATTTTGCCTTTTCCTCTCCTACAATATCAAAAAGTTAATTTCAACTTGGAATATTTTCATGCTCTCCCCTCCCGTTTCCACCCCCCGCTCCCAGCTGAAAACATAACGTTCACTTATCGGACGAAATCAGAAGATACTTGCTGTGGATAAAGACTCTTCCCTCCTTATGTAAGGATCCTGAATCCTGTAGGGTATACTCACTGTGCACAGGAAAAAAACATAACAGCACAACAGAACAAGGGAAAGCAATTTTCCATTGCTCTCAGGCTCCTGTCCCTTACATACAGAAGTGGTGTGTATGAAGTCACCCAAGATAATTGTAATTTTTCTTTCCTATAGTTTCACTACCCATGTAAAAGGTGCAGGCGTCTATTTATGTTCACACATACATAAATGATCTGAAAAAGCCACTTATAGGCAGCTTCTATAGGCAGTGGGAGGGCTCTCTTAAATGAAGAGAAGCCAAAGAATTGTGAAACATTAAAGCATTTCTAAAGCTTAAGATCCTCCAAATAGGGGGAGGAAAATGCATTAAGTGCATTTACCCATTCATCCACTCTCTACACTTAAAAACAGGGAAAATAATTTCCATTGAATCAGAGAGCCAGTCAAGTCCTTTATTGCTATTTACAGCCCCAGAAAGTGACCCTACTGTATCATGCCAATTCCATCATGCTACTAGCAGAATTTTCCGAAGCAGTGGACAGGAATCTTGGTTATTCACAAAACCAAATGTGGAAGAAAGAACAGATTTTTTTGGCCTATGATTTCATTTTTAAAATCAGCTAAGCATTCTTCGTTGGGCGTGTATCAGTGATGAAGTCCTAGTGATTCTGCCTTCATGCAGATTACCAAACACAAGTCATAATATTGAACACAAATTGTAATAGTAAATTAATGGCTGCAATGTAAAAAAGGAAGACTTACTTTCACTAATGGGATATATATCTATCACTTCTCAAATGTCCACAGTTCCAAGACACGTGTACTTTTGTGAACTGAGAGATGATGACACTGTCAATATTCAGCACCCAGACCACCACTATCAACCTGCATTCTTGAGAGCACCTTTAGGAGAACAATCAATGATAGCTCACATTACCTATCTAGCCAGGCTTGTTGACAGTGCATTATTTTGACAGTACATTATTCTGACAATACAAACCTTAACACTACTTGTTAATCATACTGTGAATCACTTCCTCCCTGCATGCCTCTCCCAGTGAGTGCATGGACAGACAGGAAACACAGGCACTGTGGCTGAGTGCTATAATATGTATTCCTAGAGCAGTAGCTCCCAAACTTCCACCTCTCAATGTTGATTTCAGCAACACTGAGCAACAGCTGTCAAAGAGCTGACATTCAACAGCTTAAATTTGGCTGCTGTCTGCACACAGACCTGAAACCACCTGAAGCACTACTTGGTTGGTATTTGTTCTACCTAATCTACCTACCTTCATAAGCAATGATGAACCAAAAAGTAACATGAAGAATTATTTATTAACATTTTTAAAACTAACAGTCAGTGTTTTCTCGTCCCGGAATGCATCTCTTGAAGCCACAGGACCATCAACACTTGGAAGAGCCAGCAGGCACTTTCTATATACACACTGGAATGTGGATATTTCACAGGAGGAGCCTCAGTGTTGCTTCAGCACCATCTACTGCGTCTCAGATCTACAACAGAGAACAGCTTCTAGTTAAAGGACAAAAAACTATGACAGCCTGTCTTCCACCATTTCACCAACTAAAAATTTTTTCCTTTGTGATCAAATAAGCACTCTCTACCCCATGAAACAGACCCTGTGCATTTCCCTAGGCACAGTGAAACATTCTCAAGGTGTACTTACTCTGGAATCAGGCTTAAACTTCATCGTCGCATCTCAGGAACTGGGCTTAAGCTTCCTCTTCTCGTGTCAGAGATGGACAAAAGAGGAAAAAGAGTTCTTAGCAGAGCTACACAAGGCCACACATTGAAGTATCACTGGGTAAGCAAAAAATAAAACTTGCTCCCTACCTTCCCGGGTTTCCGCTGCTCACAGGTGGGGGTGCATCTGAAAACACACACGTGGTCAGTCTCTTAGGAGGTCTGAGATTCAACTCTGCCACCAACTTCTGAGGCTGTCAAAGTTAGCAGGGCCTGGCCTCTGCCTACATGCAGAATTGAAACCACCACATGTAGCCAAATTCGAAGAGAGAAAGTGAGCTGGAACAGTATGCTGTGCTCATTAGAACCATCCAGCTACTGTAGCAAACTGTAAAAGGAATGTAATACAGTCCAATGACTGAAGAGGCTTTGGCAAAGCAATGAACAAGCTGCCTTGCAGGATGCAAGTGCAAGTTGCAGTAGTGTCATTTTGTATTGCAAGTTGCAGTTGTGTAATTTTCTATTGCAAAGTGGTTTTTTTTCTGGGTAAGGTGAACGCTGTGTTGGGATACTGGCATTTAAATACATTAACATTATATTGGTGCAAGCAAACACTAATAGAGGGCAGTTTGTTTCAATTTTACAAAGAGCAGAGCCACACAGATGGGTGCTTGTTTCTCATACAGACCCTGTATCTCAGCATCTCCCACAGAGTAACTTACACCCTCACAAAACTCTTGCTAGATAACATAATAAAGTATTAGTTGACAAATGGCATCAGACTCAGATTAATTTTCTTTCTACTACACCGCGTCCAAATGCAGCAACTATTCCTGTTTCCATGTTTCTTTTCCCTTTTCTCCTTCTCCTCCGTTTTCCTCTTCCAATTCTTCCACAGTTTTTAAGAAAGCTGTATTTCTTCGTTTTGTAATAAATTTATTGTTATACTAATTAGGCAGCTGAGACAACTTCCTAATCCATTCTGCAACTTTCAGAAAGCTAAACTAATTTCGATTTCCTGTTTTCACTGGTCTTAGCACTGAAATGATACAAAATTTTACCCAAAGATATTACTGGTTTCACGAGTCATTAAAAAAAAAAAAATCCAATAAACAACCTTTAAAGAAATAGTGTAAAGTCAGCTATCATCCAGACTTTCAAACAAACTATGTACAAGTGGCAGAAAAGGTGCTAGTATGCTAAGTGCACCTCAATAAGAAATTTTTATATTAACAGAAAAAACTCCTAAACATAGGTAAAGCCTCCAAAACTAAAAAGAGCCTTGCTAACAAACAAACATCCACAATGCCCAGGCATTTCACCTACCCATTTAACAAGGCATTTTTAAGTTAAATCTTGCTTAGGGGAATTAGTATTTCAGCAAGAGCTGGGCAACTCAAGATTTCAACACAGGTCAAATGACAAACACGAACCAATGACTTAAGTTTGACAACACCACTTCAAGCTCGTGATGATTACCAGCAGAGGGAATGTTAAATACACATACATAAATACGTGTACACGTGTACAATTCTCAGTCTGAGACAAGTAACAAATCAGGCCTGTTCTTGTCATATTCTCTACTAGGCTTCGAGGTACAGTTTCTGTAGTCCTCACACACTTCGCAGCCCCACCTGAAACTCACTCATCATCATTATTAAAATCTATATATAAACAACAAGGTCTGCACCTCTAAGTCAAACGCTTCCACAACTACGGAAGTGAAAGTAACAGATGACAGAAGCCCCCGAATAGTATTTTTACAGACTAACATTAGACAAAGAGAGCAGCACTTAAAAACAGACAGTTTTGTTTGTCACAAACATGACTTGAACTCAGCTATCCAGAATGAGTCTATACATAAAAGCATTATATATATAGCAGCTATATATAGTCACGGGAGGGAATGTTTACAACTACAGAGCAAGTTCCCTTCCTTTCTGCCATCAGTCACAAACATCAGTTATGTTAATGGTTAATCTATTGCCATTATTTGCTAACATCAACAACAGCTGCTCTGCGACACCTACCACCTTCGGAAGAGCCCTGCCCCGTGTTTCTCTCTCAGAAGACGTGTGTACTTGCTTGGTTGTTCCCTCAACCTAACCCTGACACCAAGTTTATTGTTTAAAGAAACTAAAAGCAAATAATTTATTAAATTCTACGACTGTATCAGTCCAGAGGACGGCCTTTATTCTTAAATAAACACGCTGGATTAATCTAATCTGTATCTGCTTGCACAGTAGAGCTAAGGGCTGTGCACAGAGTAACAAATGAACTAGACAGACAACAGTCTTCGCCTTCCTTTTTGCTTGGACTTAGAACCTTTCTGAGAGGTTTTCCAGGGCGGAAAAGCCCTTGCAAAATATTTCAGCTCCCTGGGAATCCATACTTCCACGGGGAAAAAAACCAACCCAGCGCTGACAGGCGAAGCCGCCTCACTGCTAGGCGAGCCGCGAGCACCTCCATAAAGCAAACCATCACCACCACAGCTGGATTCCTGAGAGCTTCCCGCGGGAATGCCCTGTCCAGCGGGGACACGGGGAGCGGCCGAGCCGGCAGCAGCTTCTCACGGGGAGGGGAGCGACGCGTGAGGCGGCGCCGCCACCCCCCGTGCGGCCGAGCAGGGCGGTTCAACCCCCGCGTAACCCTCCCCTACCCCCGGCCGGGGCCCGGTGCGGCGCTGTGCGGGGGGCGTCGGTGCGGATCCCGATCCCGGTCCGGGTCTCGATCCCGGTGCCGGTGCCGCGCACACACAAAGCCGCGCGGGGGCGGTCCCGGGCCCGGCCGTCACGGGGGCGCGCGCAGCCAACCGGGGCCGTCCCGGCCCGTCCCCCCCCGGCAGCGCAGGAGCCCTGACAACAAACAGCAGGAAACAGCTGACGGGGAGGCACCGCCGCCGCCTCCGCCGCGCCGAGGGGCCGTGCCCGGGCCCGCAGCCGCCCTCCCCCTCGCACCGAGCCGCCCCACCGCCCCCTCTTCCCGCACCGGGCCCGGGCACGGTCCCTCGCCCACCCGCTCGGGGCTCCGCGCAAGAACTGGCCCGAAAAGTTGCCCGGCGCGGGGCCGGGGGAGGAAGTTGTGTCGGCGGCGGCGGGGAGGGGGTGTTCGGTGCCGGCCGCCGCCGGGAAGGCTGGGCGGCGCTGGGAGGCACTGACGGAGGAGGGGACGCGGTGGGGGAAGGCCGGTGCTTTGTGGCGGCGCCGGCGCGCAGCGGGGCCGGCAGGGCCGGTCGCTACCCCTCTCCGCGCCGCCGGACCGGACCAGAGCGGCTCGTCCGGGGGCTCCGCCGCGGCCCGACAGACACAGCGCCGCGGCGCACAGCGGCGACCGCCACCTCCCTCCCCAGCCGCCCCGGCCTCCCCGGGCGGCGCGGGGCGGGAGCGGCCTCCGCGGGGTTACCTGGCGCCGGAGAGCAGCGGCGGCGGCAGCAGCTCCGTGCCCGGTGTCTCCCCCGCCCTCCACGGCCCCGCCGCTCCGGATCGGCCGCGCGGCTCCGCCCCGCCGTGGCCCCGCCCCGCCGCTTGTCAATCAGCGCCACCGAGGCCCCGCCCCCACGTCGTTGCAACGCCCCCGAGTCCGTCAATCAGCGCGGCGGAGGCTCCGCCCCCCCGCCTCGCGCCCCGCCCCGGGTTCGCCTCAGGGTTGCGACCGGTGGGACGCGGCGGGTCAGGGAATCATGGAATCGTGGAATAACAGAAGCATAGAATCACCAAGGTTGGAAAAGACCTTTTAAGATCATCCAGTCCAACCGTCCATCGAGCGCCGCCACTGTAAACCCCTGAACCACTAAACCACATCACACAGAGCCAGATCCAGACACCTCTTGAGCACCTCCAGGGATGGTGACTCCAACCACCCTGGGCAACCTATTCCAGTGCCTGACCACCCTGACAGTGTGGGTTTTTTCTAGTAACTAATCTGAATCTCCCCTGCCTCAGCTTAAAGCCATTTCCTCTTGTCCTCTCACTGCAGGCACGGCAGAAGAGACCGGCCCCCACCTCACCACACCCTCCATTCACGTGGTGGTAGAGAGCGATGAGGTCCCCCTTCAACCTCCTCTTCTCCAGACTAAACAAACCCAGCTCCCTCAGCCATTCCTCATAAGACATGTTCTCTACACCCTTCACAAGCCTTGTTGCCCAGGGATTTGGCCTGCCCTGGCAATGAGCTTGCCCACGCTATGGGGCCCAGGAGGGGTTTGAGGTGGGGATGTCAGCCACATCCCCACCTCAGTGAAGCTGTGACTCATGCTGATTGCAGAGTTTCAGGATATTCAAGTTGAAGTCTTTGCTGGATGCCTCAAACACTGCCCACGGTGGAGATGAAAGATCAGAGAAGAATGAGGGAAAGGGTTTGTGGCCCTTTTTGGTCATTGATTGCTAGAGCTATCAGTTCCCTGCCAGTTTTAATGGTTCAGTGCTTACACACAGATTGCCTCCTTGACAAACAAAGTGGTCTTGGCCAAAACAAAAGGAAAAAATCCTTTTCAGTTGTTAGTTATGAAAAAGAGGTGCGAAAAGCTGTTGTTTTCCTTCTATGAGGCGAGCCGTGCTGTTTTAAGGATTTCTGTTCTAATACCATGTTAAAGAAAGTATTTTTCATGTAGGGCGATTCCTGGTTCTATCCATGTGGTATCACCAGAGGAGCTGCAGTAATGGCAGGAAGGAACGAGCTGGCAGGACTCTTCTGTCATTTCACACAGAGGCAAAGGGGCATTTCTGTGTATGTATAGCACGCAGGACATGCTTATATGCCCAGTTGCTGTTCTTCAGCTGGTGTCTTCTTGCATGGATTCTTTTACTGTTAGAAATAGCCAGACAGAGGGGTACACAACTGCCTGCATGAGGGTAGGCAGTCAGTGATGGGTCAACATCGACATGTTAACAACTGCTGTTTGCTTTGAGCAGATCTCCAGAAAATCAGAACCCTTCAGTATGGTCAGCTGTGGCCTGATCCTGCACAGAGCTGAGCACTGACATTGCTCTCTGACCTGTTGTCAACCTCTCTTTAGATCATGCAAGAGGAGTGAAAGGCGTTGGAGCACTCTGTCAGACAGCAATCACCACTTAGGTAATGGCATGGGGACAACAGATGTACTAAGGATATTAGAAGAAAGCCATAAAGACCATGCCTGGGGTCCCATTTACCACCAGCAAATGCAGGAAATAACTGGTCTAAGGTGGTGCCCTGTTTGTTAATAGGTTGACCTCATCTGCTGCTGTGCCTCAGTGAGTAACTGTGAGATGTGTTCCCACTGGATCTGCTCCGTCTCATCACAGGACCTATATGAAGGTTCACGTCTTATTCATCTCTGCAAAGCTCCTCTAGAGATCACCGTAAACAAAGCCAAAATAGAGCAAAAAGAGAGTCAAAGCAGTGGTTCTTTGGTCAGTGCTGGTGACTGGGTTTCATGTGAAGACTTGTGAGCTCACTGCTCAGCTCTGCTGCTGAGGCATCCATACATCCCAGGGCAAGACAGTTCTTTCTGCCTCATTTTCCCTCTGTAAAATGGGAAGAGCGATGCTCCCCACCTTATTGGGAGGTTGTGTGTATGCTTAAGTACTGTTCTCCAGTCTGGGCATATGGAGGGGATGTATGCCTGAACATTGCAATCGTCATAATAATATTACCATGAAAATAAAGCAAAGCCCAAACCTATGAATAGAATTAAATTCTCAGCAATAAGAAGGGTAGCTGTACCAATCAGAAAGAAACCAAATTGACCATGAGACAAGCAGAGAATGGATTAGCCTGTGCTTGACAGATGGTGCCAGGGACTGATGTTTTTATCTCCCTCACAGAGGAGCTTAGAGGAAGGGAGGCAGGGAAGGGTGAGGTAGAGTATGTTTAATAGAACAAAGCATCAGGCTGTAGCAGCTCTGCTGAGAAACACCAAAAATACCAAAAGCAATTTCCAATTAGCTTGTACGGGGCATGCTACATATCAGCTACAGGGTGAAAAACAGGAACAGCAATATTGTACCACATGGCACTTTTAATTTTCAAAGCAGCCTGAAAACATTAATTAATCCTCCTCTGACATTGGGAAATGCAGTGCAGTCAGCAGTTTGTTCCTTTACTTCTCGTGCCAGGTTTTGGGAAGACCCTGGGCCTTTTCCACAGCTGATTCATATCACAATAGCTCAGATTACTCTGGAGGAGCCAGTCCTCTGTGCAGCACTATTGAGCGGAAAAGGCTGTGTTAGATCTGGAACTTAATGAATCAGAGAAAGGGGACATGCCCAATGGCCTTAGTAAGACCCACCTTTAATATTTGTCCCATCTAAATCCATTTGTAACTGCTGTGAGCAACACTATAGCACGCATTTCAGAGAAAATGGTGTGACTGAGGAATTAATCACAATCTCAGGCAGAACTGTGCAGTGAAACTCAAGCATCAACATTTTGATCTAATTAAAACCTGTGACAAAACTTAGTGGAATTCAGAGGGAAAGGAGTACATCCCATTAAATTAGTGTCAGGGCTTGGGGGCTGCTTGTGCACCTTTTCTGTCTTAAAAAAGAAAATGTTACAGCTTAGTGCTTCATCTCCAGAACCAGCAATAATTTTTCAGAACACTTGCGGATTCCCGTGTGGCGAAGTCGAGCCTACCAAACCAGGCATGCCTGAGGTGGGACAGTGATGTAGCGGGATTTTCCATTGCTCTTTCGCCCTTGCACAAGATTTCTGGCAGCAGAGAGGAGGCAGCTGAAATACAGAGCCAGACTTACAGGCTGTGATCTCTCTGAGAGACAGTGTGACTCCTAGCTGCACCCTCTATGCCTTCTCAGCTTTGCCTTGCATCAAAGGCTGGGTTCATCCCATGAGTTGCTCTTGTTTTTTGGCAGTAGCTACTGATAGCCTGTGTTTTGCAGAGGAGATGGTACAGCCTGCAGCATCATTCTCTTACAGTAAGCCTACTGACACACACACAAAATGTAATTACCTTTCATTTGCCATCACAAGCTGACACCTATTGCTTTTGGCTCACCTGAAAGCTGACATGGGCACAAGTGCCATTTACAGATACTTTGTCAGATGGCTGCATTTTTGTCAGGGGAAACTATTTGTACAGGTAATCTCAATATCAAAAAATGAAGATCAGCGATGAAGCAGTCCCTCCACACCCTCTCCATACTGGGCAGAGCTGGTCTCATTACTCTGTCACAATACCTAGTAGCTGTTGGCCAGATTTTAAAAGGTGTTTAAGTGTAAAACCCCAAAGCACTCAGGAGCCATATCAGAGAAAGTACTTAATGTCCAAAGAGGGACTTAGAATTTATGTGCCATTATTAAGACATCAGGAATGGAGCCAATAAGCAGGCCTGATGCCAGGGAATGCATAACGCTCTCCTGCAGAAACGAGGAGTCATCGTTGTGCACACAGCAGTTCAGGGAGGCTGGCAGACGGATACGGATCACCCTGAAGCCAGTCACTATTGCATGGCGGGGCTCACTGCCATTCCCTAGCAAGGAAAGCAAGGTTGCTAAGTAGGATGGACGGTGATACAAACGTATCAATGGTGGGGCGGTAATTTTGCAGGGTTTTTGCATTGCTAAGCCTTCTTTACTTGGTCTTCCATGGTGGAGAACAATTACTGAAATAAAGAGAACTTTCAGGTTGTAGACTACAAATCCTGTCTCACAAATCCTGTCCAGTGGCAATGCTCTTCAAGATCACATGTGTTACCACTCTTTCATTTGGGGGAGATTTTGCCAGGTGTCCAACTCATGGATGACAGCCATCTGATTATGCCGCTTCCTCCACCCAAAGGCTTGGTCTGATGCACACATATGTGAGTGGAGAAAGATGCCACCGGGTGGTGCTCCATTGACCCAGTGATGCGGTGAGCCAGCTGCCAACTCCCCTGTATTTTACAGGAGGTGATTTCAAGTGAGCTTTTATCCCCAGCTGAGGAGAATAAAAGCTGGGACCATTCCCTTGCATAGAAAAACATCACAACAGCTGTCTACCAGGAGACGAGATAAACATTTCAAGGGAGAGCAGCTACTCCAACACACGTGGACTTCATCAAACAGTCCTGGCTGTCGCTATTGTTTGTGAGCGCTGGATGAGAACAAAGACAGATTGGGCTAGAAAGGGCCCCACGCAGAGACATTCAGAGCCCATACAGAACAGTACACTTTAATGGCTACACTGGATCACTGTTTTTTGATATAATCAAAAGAATCTACTAACCTGGGAATATATACAAATGTATACACAGTCGAGGCCCAGATGAATTCCCATAACTGTTTCTTTTTGGTTGCACTTAAGGAACCGGTCCATTTCAATTGGCACTTCACAGACAGGAGAGCAAGGAAAAATCTTTGTAGCATTTGTAGCACTGTCAGTCTTTTCCATTTGCTGTTCCTAAGAGCTCTGGGTGGAGTTTACCAGCAATAGTCAACATCACCTTTCCTCGAAGGTCTTGAAGCTGATTCAATATTGCTTTCAGTCTTTTAAC